ACTGACTATTAGCCGGTTGATTCTACAGTGAATTTACACTCAACTTGTTTTAAGACAACTTGGTCATTTTTGTCTAACCTCCATATAATCTTCAATCACAGTACACAAGAGCTGAAGTGAGATTATTACTTGATTTTTTAAAATTTTTGATTACAGCTTGATGCCACACCGTATTTTCAGTACAAGTATGTCATTTTCAGCATGGATATCGGTAGCCGAAATTTCGCAGGCCGACCATAGATATCGGTTGTGCGTCGGCAGGGGATCGAACCTTGGACCATGTGCATGGTTGGCGAGAGTCCTAACCGCTGTGCCACCGACGCACATACACATACTTCAGTTGATGTAACAGTGTGTACTACCAACTCTTATACCATCGGTTTGAATCTTAATGCAAGCCAGATTCCTTTTATTTTTTAGCCGTCTTGCCTAAATATTTGTATCCTTAATCATTCTGACTATTTCAAAACATCTGGTCACTTGTATCCAAATAAATATATTTTAAAACACTATTTTTCTTTGTGAACATCCGCATATATGTTAATTCAGGTGACTTCGATAACAGATGATTGAACATATGACTGGAGTACACTTCTTTGGGGGTGGGGTGGGGTGCAGTGAGTAACACTAAAATCCCATATGTTCATTTAATTAATTTATAAAAATGCTGACAAAGAGATACTAGATGTTGACTGGAATTGTTTTAATGAAACACTGAATGAATTTCGCACAATATTTATTTATGATAGAAATCTTTTGTAAAAATCTATTTCTTTAAATCATGCCACCAGAAATTTACTAATTACAAGAATTTGAAGTACTGTGCTATTATTTGTTTTTAAAAGTCATACAAATAAAAATATGGAAAAGCTGTATATCCGTCAAGTAAGCTTTGGAAGAACATAGAACTCTTCAGTGATATTTTTTATGTTCGCATAAGTTTTGTTCGATGATAAAAACAAAAATTGGTCGGAACCGACAGTCTTTGAACTATCGGCCTACAGCTATGCCATTTTAAAGCCTGAGTTTCAATTCAATTACGTTAATACACAAACAGTGATGGCATTAAATGTTAACATAAGGAAAGTAGGCCATTGTGATATAGTCAGTCGAATAAGTGTAAAGTATAAGAAAATGATGCCTATTTTTAGTTAAAACCTGAGTAAAACACTGCATACCTTGTGCTAAATGGCTTGTGTATTCACATGTTGAAAAGGTGAATAATCCTGACATAGATTTCGTCTCTAACCAATGTCACTTACAATATAAATCATTTATTAGTATAACTAAACCCTTTTTATACTCATGAAAAGTGCTGTTTCAAAAGTCTTAGTCACTTTCAACTCTTTTTATGCTCAATATCTAAATACTAAATACTTGAGTATAAGTGTCGAATCGACTGCTTCGTTTTATCCTGCATGTCAGCATTAATATTAGGCGGTTGAAGATAGTCAACAGGAAGCTCTGAACTTGGATTTAGTCCTTATTGGCATTCATTCGAAGCGTGCATCTGTGACGTTTGAGGCGACGACAGTCTCTTTTATATGATAAAACCTCAGCGGGTATTACTATTCTAACCACTTAAATAAAACTATCCTCTCATTTCAATGATAAAGTAATGGGATGAATCCTTCCATGATCTATTGATATTATAAAACTAATTTTAGTAATTTGAATTTGAAAAATGAAAACTTTGTGAGAAATCTCAGATATTATGATTATTCAGAGTACCGACAGTAAGCACTAATTGTGTGATGATAAAATTATTTTCTGTCTTTAAAAACTTTTGTCTATTGTAAGTACAAATTAAAACGACAACATTATGCCTCAGGAAATTTCCAATTTTATCAATTTTTCTTTTCAGAAATTAATTCACTTACATACATAGTTTTACTTGTTTTAACAATTCTGCGATGATGAGTATTTCTTCAAGGAATCAAAAAGTGTATCTTGTTTTTTTTATTTCTTATTTTTGAGAGTTACTTGTTCAACACAAACTAGAGTTTCAAGATTACGACAAAGAAAGAAAGAAAGAAAATTAAGGTGGTTTGTTTTCTGTTTCTTAGTCTAAGAATTCAAGTGTATGATTATTATTTTTGCATCTAAAAGAAATCTATCTGATTGTGATGACAAAATGGATGTTGTTTAGGAAATCAGGAAAGAATTAAGAGCTAAACAAACACGTAAATATTAAGTGAAATAGCTAAATTTTGCCTTGCGGCAATTTAATTTCGACATGTGCTAGACTAGGCTTCTATAGTATACTGTTTTGCATTGATTTTTCAAATACTTGTTATCTGAGCTGTTTTATCTTCTGTATAAGATTATAGTTTTCATGCTTGTAAGTAGAATTGTTCATTAGCTAAATTTTCATTAGGTAGCGTCTTTTTGGCTAAAAACATTTAGGATACTGAGCTGTAATGCAGGATGTGTTTTCCGTTTGATGTGCGATATAATTTATCAGAAAGATTTATGTTTTGATGTGGTTATGCTCTTTGAGCTGGATGATTTAATTGTGAAACATACGTTGTTCATTTAGACAGCTTTTGTTAACAGATACGATCATATCATTCATATCGAAACCAAATAAGCTGACTTCATATTGAAGCTTTCTCTGAAGGAAAACGAAAGCTACTCACTTAAGTCACCTGGCTGAGAGAACGTAACCACATTAAAATCGTCCAACTGTGCTATAAATCTTTGTTACTTGAAGATTTATACTATTATAGCTTCAGGACTGTGACAATGTCTCTTATCTTCTCAAGATTTTCCATTCATTTATTTACTTTTAATCTTGAAATCCCTTTTGCAAATAAATCACTTTTAGTCAGCATATGGCTATCGACTCAAAAAGGTCTATCTTTTGTAACTTGACATTAAAGAGTAATAACAGTTCTTACCATGGATGTGTGTAAGACAGATTGGGAGTATGTAAAAATGGTACAATCCATCATCTTCTTTTTTGTCGTAACTGCCTTTTTATGCAGTAAAATTAAGTAAATATTAGATGACTTAAAATGGTGAAGATAAGGATTAAGAACAGTCTACTGTCGGCTGAACTGATTTAAAAAAGTTTACAGTGTCACAAAACTTAAAACCTACTTCAACATTTACTGTTATGAAGTTAGATGGGCCACAATGTGATGCCTTCTAGACTAAATGCTTAGAAATATGTAAGAAGTAAACCATATTATGTACCATATGTACATATGTGGTGAGAGCTGTCTATTAACCAAATTGGTAGACAGTAATTTACGTCAATATTTACGTTCCCAAGATTTGTCGTGAGAATATGTGGACAAAGACTGATTCAAAACCGACCACAGCAGACTTTGCGTAGGCGGATGCAGTTAACATATAGAGGATTTGGCATTCAAGAAACAGTCACAAATAGATGAAAGATTAACTTTACGTGAGAAACAAGCAGTCGGAAGACTGTGTTTGTTTGCTTAAATATCCATAGTAATGTACATGAAAATATATAAATATGCGTTGATTTCCTTAATAAATGATCTGTTGCCTGACTCTTGCCTTCTGTCGTTACATATATATATATATATATATATATATATATATATAACTTAAAGCACAAAATCTCTTCCAAATCTTTGTTACAATTTCCATTTCATTACCCCAAAAATACTTATTACGTGCCTTTCATGTTTTAACTATATTATCCCATGAGTTCATACCTAAATGAAAATTATAACTCCATGTGTTTTGCACAATCATGAGCATCTGTTTAACTGTCTCAACAGCAGGTCGAGTGTGAGAACACATACTCGCCGATGACATTGGCCAGTGGTTGCGCGAATTACGTGTTTTGGAGGAAGTTGGAATTCAAGGGCAAATTGGATTGGATCCCAGTGACTGAATGGTCCACTAGCTTGCCATGTAACTGGAAGTTACTGGGTTCGAACCCTGGCGGTAGGTGCGTACTGGTGAGGAGTCCCAAACCAGGACCGAACAGCTATCTAGTACTCACAGGTTTTCCACTGATCTTTTAACCGATGTCATTTCATTATGAAATCATGAAACCAATCAGATCAAATCCCCACAAACCAGCACTTGAATCCATAAATAGTTTCGGGCTGTCATGTATAAAGGCTTCTTCATATATCGATAATCAAGATGAATAAAATCCTTTCAACTATATGTTCATGTTCCTTTAGACTACAGATCGACTGACATGAGTAGCTGTATGCCATTCATGGCAATCAGTGGCGTTGGCTAACCAAACAGAGGTGATCTAAACACTAGACGGTCGTCTCACTCGTCTCAGGCCCAGGTCATCAGCGGTGTACCTGGTTCGACTGAACTCAGAGAGCTGAATCACTTCAAACCACACGATTTCTGTCTAGCTACTTGGGTGAACTGGTGTCAACATACGCTGAATTCCCAATTTGCAAACTAGTTAGCAATTTGCAGTGCACAGTTCGTGGGGTGAAATTTCACCGCAGTTTCTTTTGGAAACCAAATTATTCAAATCGGAGGATGTGATCTGCTTGGAACCATAAATGGTAATCAAAAAACCAAGCATATTTGTATAAAGCTATGTACTACTGATTGATTGAGATGAGTAGTTTTGTACCAATCATAACAACTAGTAGTGTTTCCTAACTAATTTGTAGATTGTGAATTTGATTCATGTTCCTTTCATTTCCCCTAGATGTATGAGTGCAGGAAATAAACAGAAACGTTTGAGATCACTTTTTTTTTACAGACCACTATACAAATAAAAAAATGACAATGGTACAGATTAGGAATTTACCAGGTATTCATTCAAAAAGCAATATGTCAGTTATGCCTGACTATATAAATGCTAAAAACGAAATGGATCTAAGTGAATCCTTGATTTCAAAGTCACTCATCTTAACTTTAAAGGTGAAAATAGTCGCATACACACTATGTGTAGCGAATCTATAGTATAAATTCCCACTTTATTCAGCCTACACTATATGACTAATTTTTTTTCATTTTTATACTTTCAAAATTTACAGGTACACGTGAATCAGCTTATGTTTTAGCCGTTACATCTGCGGGTGTATCACATGCAGTGACAAAAGCATGCAGTAGTGGCCTACACGATAATTGTGGATGTGATCGAACAATATATGATCATCCAAGAGAACCAAATTTTGAATGGTCAGGATGTTCAGATAATATACACTTTGGTGCAGCATTTTCAAGACAATTTCTTGATGTACGAGAACGTAATCGATTGAAACGTAATCCAAAATTGGGATTAACCAATTTACATAATAATCATGTTGGAAGACAAGTGAGTTTCTAATATTTATCTGTTGTGTTCTCATGTTTGAAGTGTGTTGTAAGATCAAGTTTACTGCTATTTACGATTTCAAATAAACCTTATGGATGTCTTCTTTTGTGGATATGCACAATATGGCTTCTGATTTGTAATCAGTTTGACAATTAAATGATTATAGATGAGTTTTAAAGTGCTGGCTTTTGTAGGGATTTCATTTGATTGGTTGGAGGATTTCACTATGAGCTGACATCAGCTAAAGAACCATTGGAAAACCTGGGAGTACTAGACAGCTGTTTCGTCCCGGTTTGGAACTCTTCACTAGTACGCACCCACTGGGGTTCGAACCCAGGATCTTCTAGACGAGATTATATGAATTGTAAAGTGAGACTAGCCAATAGTTACAGATGTCCAAGATGAATTTCAAACGTGGTTTATTAAAGAAATTAAAAGTATTTAATTCCCAGTATACGATACGATACACTGAGTAATATAGACTACTTCAGACCACTTTTACCTGTAACTAGTATGTAATGTATAGCTTTTATGAATGTACTGAGACTTTGAAGCTCACCAGGCTTGACCTCGAGACACCAGTGTCTTCAATAACACCATGTCGTCAATGTCAACTGAACGTGCTGGAAAAAGATAACAGTGGTAAGCTGTTCCTTTGATTTTAATATTATTTAAAGCATAGTCCTAGATGAAATGGTAATGAATAAGTAGCTTTTCATTTATTTCAAAAATATCACCTCAGGATTATCAAAAATCGAAAGAGAAGCTGGGTGAATATTTGCCTAATCAAGCTTAGAATAATTGTACACTGACTGCCTCAATGACCAACTTGAATAAAGAGTCTATATACTAAAGTCAAATATGTTTTCTTGAGTAAATGGCACTTAAACTGTTTCAAAACGTCTAATATAAACTGAGCACTTTAAGCAATTAACTTATGTCCTGTTAAAAGTGTTGCAAAAAGATAAAACATTAAAAAGGATTCAGATATATCCGGAGTATCAAAGTTGATTGCTGTTATCTAAAATGAATACAGAAATGAAGCCACACGATCTCATCCACAAAGACCCTTTTAGTGACTATGGTTAGCAACTAAACTATTTAGGATTTGAAGTAAACTGCATACTGTAACTGAAAAACCAGAAGTTCCTTAACATTTATGGCGTTTAACAAACTGTTTGTATGCAAAGACAATTGCTATCTATTTGCTCTAAATGACTGTCTTCATAAGCTGCTTTTTATACATTAATTATTAAACCTTAGTAATCTGAATACCCATTGGGGTTCGTTTTCTGATGAAGTTTATCCGAGTAAATTTCCGATTCATTCTTTAGGCAGAGTGGAACTATATTACTGTGTGCTGTATTTGATGTTGATTATTAGCAGCCAGCCAGTGGAAAGTTGTGAAGCTGAGTTTTGTGTTTGTCATAACTTGTTGATCACCCGCTTCTGTCATCTCAAGAAATACTATGTTTCTTGGGTTACTTAAATCGGCATCGCTTAATGCTTATGTAATGAGATGAAAGCTTGTGGATGATTGACTTAATTTCCCACGATAGGATCACTAGCTCCAATCGCAACCTTTCCTCGTTTTCCAGGCTTATGACCGGTTGGTAAAGTAGATGAGGTGAGAGTAGTTGTATCTTAACTGCCTCTTTGACCAACTTGAATAAAGGGTTTGCAGACTAAATTTAAATAAGTTTTTATTAGTAAAAGGCACCCTCGGGACTAGTTGGGCGTCTGAGGGTGACATGGAGGAGAGCTTATGGGCAATTGTTGGGCCGGATAAAAATGAATGCAGAGAACAGAATGAGATGGAGATGTGTTTCTGGAGCCCTCATTTCCACTTAGAACCTAAGTGAATAATAATAAGTGCTGATATGAGGAACTTATGAAAGACAGATGAGGATGTAACCAGCTTCCTGTACGAAAGAAATACTTACATAATTTGGTCCATGAATGACAAACGGAATGAACATTGATCGTCACAGAATACTGCTTAATTCTCACAGAAAATCTCAAATCTATCATGCATGACTAAATAAGCCAGGTAGTTCTGCTTCAAACAGCGTAACTGATTTTCAAATTTACTACCCATATTTTTTAAAGCAACAGTGTGACTGAAGCAGGAAATCGTATTACTGTTGTTATGTTGATGACCTTAATGATACATTATACGTGGAAACAAATACCTAAAATTGAATAGCTACATTATTTTCCGGAGATCAACACATGCATGCCAATTAGTCATAAAGGGGATTATCTGTGAGCTGAATAGGATAGTGGTAAATTTACTAACTTAGAGATTGAGTGACTATAGTCCGAATCTTAAAATAAAGGTGAATTTAGTCAAGAATCTAGCAATTACGCTTTCTCAGTGAAAGGAAACAGGTATGAAGTTTAGGTTCAGAGATTTCTTCCCAGCTGTCCAGCATATCGTTTACGTAACTGGCATCACGACACTCAGTGAAATCTAAGTTAACTGATGGTGTCTGGTGTTTGTTCATCGAGATTTAAAATTGACGACCATTCGTTTTAATTTTGTTCCATTAATTTTCCTTTTAGCATTCAGTATTACCGGTTTACCCCCGAGAAATTTGATTTAATTAATGATTGAAATGACACTTACAGAAAGGCGGCACATTTTAACGTAAAAGTAAACGAATACAACTCCATAATGGTTAAGATTTTATTTTGATAAATCACACAGTGTTGTACAGTTATATTAACTGATGACGTTTCGAGCACAAACTATTGCTCATAATCATATCAACTTGATAATATATAACTGTACAACACTGTGTGATTTATCAAAATAAAATCTTAACCATTATGGAGTTATACTCTACCACAGTGCCCAAGTTTTATACTTATATCAATAAACGAATACAATGGAAGAAATCTGTGGTTTCAGTCTAACCAGAAGAGATTTCCCCAACTAACCGTGGGGACCGTTTATACTTAGGAAAATTTCAAAAATAATATTTTCTGTAAGTTTAAATGCATTCAACTCACTAGTTGTCTTAAGTTATATTTGTTATGTAACTCGAACCAACAGTTTCAAGCTTAGCTTGATTTAAAAACTATCATTCAACTCTTCACTTCTTCATAATGCAAACAAGAATTCTGATGATATTAGAATTCTGTTTTTCATAAAAACTAATGTACAATCTTGTTAGGTTTGTGTAAAGGAAATAATTTAAGATATTTGTACTAAGAAGAGCCTGGCTTCTATCTATAAAAATAACTCGATTTAGTATCGTATACCATTCAAACCATTTACATCTATTTTGTCAAATTTTGACTGGAGCGTGAACCTATATCTTGTCACTAATTGAGTTTCTTTGTAATGAATAAATAATTTTGAACTTGCATCTCCAAAGAAAAAAACAGTGACGATTTTCAAAACATAATTAGTCGTATTTGTGTAGATAAATACTCCTTTACAGGTTTGACCACCAGCTGACATCGCTTACAGAACTACCGGAAAACCTGTGAGTACTGGACGGCCAGCTGCTTCGTCCTAGTTTGGGACTCTTCACAGTACGCACCCACCGCCAGGGTCCAAACCTAGTAACTCCCGGTTACCAGGCGAGCTTTCAGACCATTCACCCGCAGGGATCCGATACAATGGCCATGAGTTCCAACTTCTGCCAATTCTCTATAGAGCAATCACTAGCCAATATCATCGACGATCGTCTGCTCTCTAACTTGACTTGGTGGAAGGTCTTGGGTGTTGAATTCCGATAAGTCCCAAACCAGGGCGAAACAACTGTCCAGTACTTCCAGGATTTCCAATGGTTCTCTAAATGGTGTCAGCTTGTGATCAAACCTGTAGCCGATCAAATCTGTATAAACCAACACTTGTATATTCCATTTATCATAACTAGCATGGACTTTGTTTGTACTTTAATGGCCCAACATTTCATATATATATATATATATATTGCTTATGCATTGGAGTGTGAATGAACTTCGATGAACTTGTTATTATACAGAAATGAAACCTCAAAAAATAAACATGTGTTTAAGCAAATGTATTATGAACAAGACTGGGTACATGAAAGCGAAGTGATAGCCAAACAGTTTGTTTTTATTTGGAAAATACAACAGATGTAAATTGTAATATTTCCTACTGATACTACGATAAAAGCTTTTCAAAAGTAGTTTAAAATTTCGGTAATCAAATGATGTATAAAATAGCGGAGGCATTGTTTAATTAGATCACCACTGTTAAATCTATTGGTGTACACTTATAACTAGGTTGAACAATGTTTCGCAATCTGTTTTAAGTGGCTACATCACGTTGCTGAATTGTCAGATTTTCTTCAAAATAACTAGACTAGAATGTATTTTGAAATAATAAAAATACTTCGTGAATGTAAAACTGTGAATGATTTAAGAAAATCTGTCTCTTTATGTAAAACTGAGCAAATTTTCTTTCACAAAGCATAGGAAAGTGGTTCATTAATACATCAGTTTTTATATCCAATGAGACATTTCTCGCCTAAGAAATAAATTGTTTTCTCTGTTGTAAATTTCTTCTCCTCTGGGAATAATAATGACAAATGGTTTCCAGACTGTGTGAAATGCTTTTCTTTATTTAATTACGGAAATTACCTTAAATTAGTTAAATAACAATTATTTATTCAGTTTGTTGACAGATGTTTTTGTGAAATCAGTCTTTTTCAGTTCAGTATCCAGAAATGAAATTTTTCATTGTTTTTCATACCAAGTAATAAGTTTATTTTAATCACGATGACTATTACGTTCCAGTGGAATTCGGCTTAAACGGTATTCCATGAAGGATTTCATAACATCAGTTAGAGAACCACTGGAAAACCTGCGAGTACTGGACAGCTGTTTCATCCTAGTTTGGGACTCTTCATCAGTACGCACCCACCATCATGGTTCGAACCCAGGACCTTCTAGTTACAAGGCGAGCTCGTTGACCATTGAGCCACTGGGAGCCGATCCAATGGTCCTTGAATTCTAACTTC